CTTTCTGAAATCTTTCCTGGAATCTTCCGCTTGTGTAGCTATGAGCTTCAAGACTTAATTACAAATGGCATAGAGAGTGTATATAAAGAGAATTTTGCCAGATTGCTTATTATAATGACAAATTATATTATTATATAATTTCAACTTTGCTAATAATAAGTAATTTAAGGGCAAAGTAGCATGCACAACTCAAGTGGAATGATTCCTTCTAACATCTCATGGCTGAAGTTCACCTTTTAAAAATCTTTCATCAATGGTTCAGTTTGATTAAATGATGCAGACATTCTGTCTGATGCTGTAATCGAAAGATTTCCAAAGGTGAAACTTAAGCTTTATACTGGGTGCTTTCTATCAACGATCATTGCAATGATCAACCCTATCAGTGGTGGTATATTCTTAGTAGAGGAGCTGGTTCTGTGTTCTGATTCTCTTTCTTGCTTAGGAATAGTACTAAGCAAACTGTGAAACCAACCGCCCACTCCAATACTGGTTTTACATGCCCTTATCCATTTGGTCTTGTCGATTCCCCTCGGGAGAATGCCCGTCATCATCTTAAGGGCCGTTGTAGTCTTTAGTAAGCTCAAGTGAAGTTTGTTAGGTGAAGTGAAACCCAGTGGACTGAGTGAACTCAAATTTCGACTTCAGCAGCAGAACTTCCAGAGAAATCATTACGACCTGACGTGTTTCCCTTTTCAAACCCAAAAATAATGGCGGGCAAAGCTTTTTATAAAGGCATAGCAATAAAATACTTTATATTTTTTAACCACAACATTCAGTTTACTTTGTTCAATCTGTTGTACATGATTACTGATAAACTTTGTTTCTTTACTCTGTTAGTTAGCAAGGTTAAGGCTACACAGCAAGCAGCGACAAAAAGAGAGGCCATACAACACGTTTCTAAAGCAAACCTTATAGACAGACAAAGCAGTTATTTACAGTTTAAGTACGTTATGCTCAAACCTTTTGCATTACCAAAGTTTGCATGACTAGCTGTATAGCACACAGAGGCTATATAGAATAATACAGGGATACACAATATTTTCACAGTTGATATTATTCAAAAACAATTGGGGAAAATGTAATGATTGTACGTCCAAAATTGGAGCAACAGCCAATAATTATAATATAATATAATATTTTGAAGCCCCATTTTTGACCCTACAAGTCGTTGGTGGTGGGCATTTACATGCAAATGCATAGTGTAGTAGATAACACCATCGCCCCACACATGGGTAATTGGAATCCTCGTCCAAGCACGAATACACTGCTGTACCACTAAGTGGGAAGAGTGTCTGTCGTATATGTCAATGTTTGTAATGCTTGTTTGATTCAGTCTTTGATTGATGGCTTTGTAAAAGTAGTCAGTGATGCAATTTCTGGTAAAGTCTTTTTAGGGGTGGGTGAGTCATAAGGCGCCTAAAACCCATTAGAAGCTTACAACTGAGGCTAACCTAGCTGAGTGCAAGTGGATTTTGATTTAAAAACCCGCTCCCTGCTGTCTCCTCCTCCCCTTGTACCGTGAGTGGCCACTTCCGAGGTGTAATTGACTTCCATGTGGTGAGTTGAAGTTGGCAAGAGCATGTTGAAAGTATTGAAACGGGGCTATGACAGTCTCTAAGGTCCTAAACCGCCGTGTTCTTTCTAACCAATGGCCATCGTTTCCAGTTTGATTTGGGCCTTTTTCATTGGATTACATCTGAAGTGACTTGATTTTCTCCATGTTCTTTCCTCCCTGCCAGGATGGAGTGTTTCATTTTCTACCTTTTTGGCCCAGTTCTCTCTCTTTCTCTACGCTGATCAGTCTTCTGTAAGCTACCTGTACTCTCTTTGGTTAACTTCCTTAGTTCCTGAAGAAATAATGCAATTTTTTTCCTGCCTTCTCCTTCTCTGTGTAGCCCTTTGCTGGTGGGCGCCCAGGCCATAAAGTGGGCTCTCTGACTCCACCCTCGTCTCCTAAGACGGCCCCAAGGGGAGGTCACCGGCGCATTCTGAGTGATGTCACCCACAGCGCCATATTTGGAGTCCCTGTTAGCAAGTCCACTCAGCTACTGCAGGCTGCAGCGGCCGAAGCCAGCCTCAACAAGTCCAAGTGAGCTCAACCATCAGCCGATGTATTAGGGCTGTTATTAGCGATTACTTCTAGATTCGATGAACCTTTTCACTATTGTTTGATTAGTCAACTCATCACAACGTTGTTTTTTGTCATTCTTTTGTTTTGACCATCTAACTACAATTCAATTCAATTAAATTTTGTCATTATATCAATACAGGATCGTAAAGTATAACATTGTCTGGCTACTTCTCTGTACAGTGATTGAAAAAAATAAAATAAACATAATAGTGCAAAGACAATAGGTGCATAGACAGTGTATACAGATATGTGCATGAACGTTAACAGAAGGCAGAGGAAGAATTTAAAGTGCAAACTGTAGATACTGTACTTCAATAAATAAACTATAATAAATATGTAATCTTGTCTAGTGTACAGCTTAGGTGTTTATAGCTTGTATTTAAATGGAAGTGTGCAGTATGTTGAGGTAAATCAGGTCTGGTGAGTGTTGACGTTTTTTTCCATGATCAGTGTTGATCAGTGACCAATTGACATTGTCCAGTGATCGTTGTAACTGTACCATCCATCCATCAGTCCGTCTATATGTTTAACCGTCCATACATCCATTGATCAGTCAGTCGATAAAACAGCCTCTCAGTGCCCTCCATTTTATGCTGACCTCTTTGACTACTTAATAGCAGCTCAATGTGTATATCGTGTTTCTGCTTCAGATCAGCCAGCACTACTCCTTCTGGCTCCCCATGCTCATCCCAGCAAAGTGTGTACCCGGCAGGCGAAGGCAGTACCCAGTCGGCTGTTCCTAAAGCAGGCACTGGGGCTCAGCCTTCCTGGAATCCTTTTGGCGATGACAACTTCTCCAAACTCACAGCTGAGGAGCTGCTCAACAAGGATTTTGCCAAACTGGATGGTAAAACTGAAAACTGTTATGGTTTTAATAGGAATAATTTAGGGGTGTGAATTTGTCAGTCAAGTTCTTCCACACCAAACTCACCCAGCCATGCCTTTATGGACCATGCTTTATGCACTGGGGCTCAGTCATGCTGGAACAGAAAAGTGTCTTCAACAAACTGTTCCCATGAAGCTAGAAGCATAGAATTGTCTAAAATGTCTTGGTCTGCTGAAGCATTAAGATTTCCCTTCACTGGAACTAAGGAGCCTCAGCCAACCCCTGAAAAACAACCCCATAGCATCATCCCTCCTCCACCAAACTTTACACTCAGCACAATGCTGTCAGGCAGGTAATGTTCTCCTGGCATTCACCAAACCCAGACTTGTCCATCAGACTGCCAGATAGAGAAGAGTGATTTGTCACTCCACAGAATACGTTTCCACTGCTCCAGAGTCCAGTGGCAGCCTGCTCTCCATCTGACGCTTGGCATTGTGCTTGGTGATGTAAGGCTTGCCTGCAGCTGCTCGGCCTTGGAAACCCTGTCATGTTGCTCACGGTGCACAGTTTTTGTGCTGATATTAATGTCAGAGGAGGTTTGGAACACTGCAGTTATTGAGTCAGCTGAGCGTTGGTGACTTTTATGCACTATGCGTCTCAGCACTCGGAGACCCCACGCTATAACTTTACATGGTCTTTTATTCCGTGGCTGAGTAGCTATGGTTCTTAAATGCTTCCACTTTTCAATACTACCAATCACAGCTGATGGTGGAATAATAGGAGGGGAGAAATTTCATGAACAGAATTGTAGCATCCTATTACAGCACCACGCTCGAATTCAGTGAGCTGTTTAGAATGACCCATTCTTTCACAAATGTTTGTAAAGGCAGACTGCATGGCTGGGTGCTTGATTTTATACACCTGTGTCAATGAAACTGAAAACACCTGAATTCATTGATTAAAAGGTGTGTCCCAATACTTTTGTCCATGTGAACTGGTTTTAAAAATGCAAAAAAATAACCTTATCGTCTATTTGTTATTGATATGAGCCACAACGTGGTTCAATATCTTTTATTATTATCAGCTCAGAAATTCCAAGTACACTGTGCATGGTAATGTACGGTTTCGTAAGTGATGCTAAATATATATCTGTGTGTGTGTGTGTGTGTGTGTGTGTGTGTGTGTGTGTAGCTAAAGCACCAGAGAAGTCGTCTACAGAGAACCTGATTTCAGGTTTACAGCCCACGGCTCCAAATAAAGGCTTTCCCCAGGGAACAGGTATATACCCAATACCTTTATCTTTCTAGCTTTCTGTGTCTTTCTCCCTTTCCCCTGCCTACTCTTTTGCTGTTACCAAGAAGGGTTTTATTTTTCTTTATTCAGTTTTGCCTTTTTTCTTTAATACAGTGTAATAATCTTGTTACATTTTTTTCCTTCCCCTTGTGGCTTTAGTAAAGCCCAGTGTTAATCCTCTGCAACCTTTAACAGTTCAGGCTCTTCAGGTTCTTCTTAACCAAGTACACCTTAAGTAAAGTTACACACACATTACGTCATGTGTTTAGCCTTGTGCCCAGCCTTACCTGCTCTCAGAAACAGAGATGCAGTAGGACTAACTCGCATTCGTGGCTTCGTGGCACTTCCTGGTTGCTGAGAAGTTACAGCAAGGACAGTCGTTCCGTGTTGCTAATAGGATTTCAGAGGTGGTGTGAAAGGCGAGGCTGGAGCGGTTACTGTGTCTCTGAGTAGTGAAAGCACAAAGTCACAGCCAGTGGGGTGGATTTCCTTATTGCTGCCATGATGGGTAGCAGTGACCGCTGTTCACTGGTTTAGTGACTTGTAAGCAGAAATGTGGAAATAAATATTTTTTATATTTACTAACACCTACCGGCCACTTTATTAAGTACACCTCCTTCAAACTGTGTACTTTGTCCATTTTCTCAGGACCGTTTCTGTGTCACTTACGGCATGAATCAGGTTTGCGGTATTAAATATTACTGAAAATAAACAAAACGGCCCCTCACATAGTAAAGTGGCTGCTGCAACAGCTAGACACAAGGTATGTAGGCTACAATATTACTTGAGTTTGCTAGAAAAATTACAACAGCTGAAGGTGATGAACTTAATGCCTAGTCTGTGATTATCCTTAAAGGGCCCTACGTATTTTTTATATTTTATTGTTTTCCCTGATGTTCACTACGATTTTTACATGACTCTTTTCCAATCTCTTGTTATCTCTGGTTTTGTTTCAGTGCCTTCAAGACTGATACATGCAAATGATCTCTGTTCTTATTGCCTGCCCTGTTTTGTAACCCAGTCAAAAAGCAGCACAGGCTGTGTGAATGGGTGGGGCTAAACTTCTTTTGGCTGAATAGACGGATATTTTTCGTGACATTACAAAAACAGTGAATTTAAAATGGCAGGTTTTGCAGCTTTGTTTTCCTGTTATACGAGCTGTTAAGACATTGCCAGACCTTGCAACACGTTTGTGGCCGGAGCATGGATAGGTCTAACGGAAATCTGAATTGGACCATTTGTAAATGGTCATCTTTGAAGAAAAGCACATTTCATTAGATTTCCGCACACTGTGGGAACACATCACATCACATATTCCTCGGTGCTGTGGTGGTCAGTGCGGTATGCTTTGTCTGGAGAGTCAGGAGGAAGGTGTGGTGAGCTGTGTTTGTTCTGGGTGAATACTGGAGGGAAGTGAGAGGATAGATTAAGCCTTGCAGTTCTTACATAAGCAGGGTTTGGCTAATCCTTTCTGGATCTGATCTCACACACACGCGCGCACACACACACACACACACACACACACACACACACACACAGCCGGGATGATGCTTTGTGTAATTAAAGCTCAGGTAAACCCTTTGTAGCTGGATATGAATGGCAGAGAATGACTCCCTGTGTACATTCTTCTGATGTAAAACATCACCTGGCAACCCATTGAGTTCCATGCACCTACACTTAATACAGGGTACTCTGCAAAATGTAGAGACCAGTCCTTTGTTTGTTTAATTTCCAGCCCGAACTGCCATTAAATACAAGTTGTTCATTTTTAGTGGCACTAACTGGTTGCCAAGAAGTTACAGCAAGGAGAGTCGTTCCATGTTGCTAATAGGATTTCAGAGGTGGTGTGAAAGGCATGGCTGGAGTGGCTGCTGTGTCTCTGTGTAGAGAAAGTCTGAGCTCACCGCTGGTGGGGTGGTTTTACTTACTTCTGCAAGGGTTGCACAGGCTAGTCCATATTGTTAGTGTCAATCACCTGATCAGCGAGTAGTTGACAAAGCTTAAAGCGTCACTGCCAAGCAGAAAAGTCAACAACTCGCTGATCATGTGATTGACACTAGCAATATGGATGTCTGTATCTCCGTTTTCCTGAAGGCTAGCGATGTGGTCCAGGGCTCGTTGGAAAGTGCTTGTCATGCTCGACCTGTGGAGTTTGGCTTCTTTGTATAATTTCGCCGCCGATCTACAGTGCTTTAAAGATCAGATACTGAACATCATTATCTCTGGTTTCCCGAAGACTATAATATAAAGTCATGTGCCGCTGGAGTGGGGGGTATGACACCCTATAATCCTGTAACGTTTGAAGTCAGTTCCTCTTATTTTTGCCACGTTACGGTGCTCTAAATTTCTCTGGCCCTCTGAATCTCTGCTGCGGCCAGGGTTTCGGCAAGGCCGCCTAGGGCACGCCTAAGTCGGATACAAATTTGCGAGGTTCCACAGGGCGTACTGCCGGTTCTCCAAGGAGTTTGGCTTCGTCACATATTTTAAAAGTCAGAATTTTTGAAGTCGCTTGTTGCAAAGCGTTACCACCTTCTGTGGTTTTATTCATGATGTCATCAGCGATTATTCAGTCATCATGTAACTGTCGACTTCTGAAAATTTAGAGGCAACCCCTAATTTGGACGCTGTTTAATGCTTTAGTGACTTACTGGTTTATTGATTTTAGTGTTTTTTGTTAGTCAAGTCAAGTCAAGTCAAGTCAGCTTTATTGTCAATACTACAATATGTACAGGACATACAGAGTATTTGAAATTGCGTTACTCTCAGACCCCATGGTGTAGCAATAACATTAAATAGAAAGTAAACAGGAAAAGTGTGAATTTAAATAGACACTAAATAAACACTAAACACTAATCGTAAAAATAAGCACAAATTAAAAAAAAATAATAAAAAATATATATATATATATATAAAATAAAATAAAATTTGAATAATAAATATATATGTATATATATAAATATAGATCTTGAAAATTAACACGAAGTGACATGAGGCACAACAGATTAAGATCTGTGGGTATAAATAGTGCAAATATAAACAGTAGTGCTATTGGAATGAGCTTATGGAGCAGTTAAAGTGATGAGTGCGTAACAGTCCCTGAGAAGGTCAGAGTTCAGTATTGGGGGAGTGGGGATCAGGAACCCGTGTATGGGTCCAAAACTCTGTGTGTGGGGGGGGCAGAAGGGGAGAGGGGGGGCAAAGTAGGGAGAGAGTTCAGCGTCCTGACAGCCTGGTGGATGAAGCTGTCCCCCAGTCTGCTGGTCCTGGCCCGGAGACTCCGCAGTCTCCTCCCTGATGGCAGCAGGCTGAAGAAGGTGTGTAGTGGGTGAGTGGGATCACCTGCCATGCTGAGGGCTTTTCGGGTGAGACGTGAGCTGTATATCTCTTGGAGGGAGGGGAGGGAGGTGCCAACGATCTTCTCAGCTGCTGTCACGATGCGCTGGAGTGTCTTGCGGCAGGACACGGTGCAGGCGCCATACCACAAGGTGATGCAGCTGGTCAGGATACTCTCGATGGTACCTCTGTAGAAGGTGCACAAGATGGGGGCTGGGGCTCTGGCTGTTCTCAGTTTGCGGAGGAAGTAGAGTCGCTGATGAGCCCTTCTGGCCAGTGATGCTGTGTTGTTGGCCCAGGAGAGGTCCTCTGTGATGTGCACACCCAAGAACTTAGTGCTGTTCACCCTCTCCACAGCAGCACCGTTGATTGTCAGAGGAGCATGCTGGGTGCACGTTCTCCTGAAGTCCACAACGATCTCCTTCGTCTTCTCAATGTTCAGATGGAGATTGTTGTGTCTACACCACAAGTCCAGGCGGCTCACCTCGCTCCTGTAGTTTGTCTCATCGTTGTTGCTGATGAGACCCACCACAGTCGTGTCGTCCGCGAACTTGATGAAGAGGTTGGAGCTGTGCGACGGTGTGCAGTCGTGGGACATCAGAGTGAATAGGAGGGGGCTCAGTACACATCCTTGGGGGGCCCCCGTGTTCAGTGTGATGGTGCGGGATGTGTTGTTGCCGGCCCTGTACTGCCTGTGGTCTCCCAGTCAGGAAGTCTAACAGCCAGTTGCACAGTGAAGTGTTCAGCCCCAGCCTGTCCAGTTTGAGAATGAGCTGCTGGGGGATGATGGTGTTAAAAGCGGAGCTGAGATCTATGAATAGCATTCTGACATAAGAGTCTTTTTTGTCCAAATGTGTGAGGGCCGAATGGAGGGCAGTGGAGATGGCATCATCAACAGAACGATTAGGCCGATATGCAAACTGGAAGGGGTCCAGGGAGGGGGGAAGGACAGACTTGATGTGTTGCATGACCAGCCGTTCGAAGCACTTCATGAGGATGGGAGTGAGTGCAACTGGACGGTAGTCACTGAAACAGGAGGGTGACGCTTTCTTCGGGACAGGGATGATGGTGGTGGCTTTCAGGCATGTCGGGACAACAGCCTGACTCAGCGAGATGTTAAAGATATCTGTAAAGACATCTGTGAGCTCCCCAGCACAGTCCCTCAGCACACGACCGGGTATGTTGTCAGGACCAGGAGCTTTCCGAACGTTGATCCTGCTGAATGATCTCCTCACGCTGACTGGGCACAGCGTCAGCACCTGGTCTCCAGGAGGGGGTGAGACCTTCTGTGCAGGCATGTTGTTGTCTGTCTCAAACCGGGCGAAGAAGTTGTTAAGCTCATTCAGCAGAGAGGTGGAGCTGACACAGGTCTGCGGTGGGGGCTTGTAAGTCTGTGATGGTCTGTATCCCCCGCCACAGGCTCCGTGTATCTCTGCTGTCGCTGAAGTGATGGGCTATCCTCCTGGAGTACTGCCTCTTTGCCTTCCTGATGCCGCGGGACAGGTTGGTCCTAGCTGCCCTCAGGTCCACCTTGTCTCCTGCTGAGAAGGCAGCATTCCTAGCTTTCAGTAGCCTGTAGACCTCCCCTGTCAGCCATGGCTTCTGATTGGCCCAAACCGTGATGGTCTTGAGAACAGTTACATCCTCAATGCACTTTGAGATGTAGCCAGTGACTGTGTCAGTATACTCCTGAAGATCTGTGGTGTTGCTTGTAGGTCGCCGCTTGTTTAAAAACATTCCAGTCTGTGGTGTTAAAACAGTCTTGAAGTGTCTCTGAAGACCCCTCCGGCCACACTCGTACCTGCTTCTGAACTGGTTTAGTGACTTTAACCAGTGGCCTGTATGCTGGCATTAGCATAACAGTGATGTGGTCAGAGGCGCCAAGATGGGGGAGGGGAATGGCTTTGTAAGCTTCTTTCTGGGTGGTGTAAACATGGTCCAGTGTGTTTTTTCCCCGTGTTGGAAAGTTTATGTGTTGATATATTTTTGAAAACACACTCTTAGGCCAAAAAAATCAGTAGATGTGTATTTAAAAGAAAATTACACTAAATCCTCCAACACTTAATAAATTAAATCTTTCAGTAATTCGTCCACTCTTTACTTCTTCACACCCTATTGCCACTTCAACTCTTTCAGTGTCCACTCAACAATGGGTTCCCGAAGGTGTCACTGATATTATGCTCTCCTTCAAAGAAACAAACCAGTCCATATCTCATTGAAAACTGGATTATTTAGACTGTAAGAAGCAGGAAATGCAACCAACCTCGATAACTGAACTTTGGAGGAGTGGAAAAATAAAAATAAGTAAAATTTCTTAGAAAAACTGAAAAGAAGTCTCCTCAAAAGAGTAGAAGCTATAATAAAGACAAACAGTGGCACACTGAATAGTGAAAAGTATAGTATTATATTGAGTAGTTGAGGGTTCTGTATATTTTTATTCTATTAACTGTTTTTTATGTTTGTTTTTTCCTTGCTGGGTATTGAATAATTTGTACTTAATGGTAGTTTTGAAATTACTGTGAATTAAATAAATGAAACCGACCTTTGCAAAGTACTCTCAGTTCAGTAGGAAGTGAACTTTCCTCATAAGCCTTTTCATCAATGTTAATATCTCCTGTTCTTTATCTGCTTTAATTTCTACACAGTACTGTAGCCACTCTGTGTTCGAAGCACAGTGGAACGATGTTCCCTCCCTGTAATAGTCAGGAGTTAACAGAGTCGTTCTGAAACCTGCTTTTGGTTGTTCCAGAATTACATTGTTTTGAGCTTGAACTTTTGACCTGTTTTCACCCTAGTGAAAGGGACAAAGCAAAAGGTCTGCTGCTCTGTGTCCTGAGTGACCCTCCCTGCCCCCTCCACACTCTTGTTCTGTCAGTCCTGTAAGTATGGACAGGACAAGGCAATACAGCTCTGTGGAATTGGAGCAGTTCACCAATTTTTCAAACTTTTCTCTAAATACTTTGATATCACTCCTCATAGACCCAGTGTTGTACATAGGAGTGGATCCACACAGTGCTAAATCTAAGGTTTAAATGAGTGGAAAATCAGATTTACACTATTTTTACACTTAGCCCAAATGTAGTCAGTCAGCTAAGACATGTCTGATACTCTGCTTCTTTAGTTCTGGCCTCGAGCCACCAGGCTAGTGTAGTAATGGGAGCTCACCTTTTACTGTTGTGCAAAATAATCACGTCAAGTTTTTAAGTAGTTTCCAATATAACGTAGACAAACGTACCATTAGAAGTCTGACTACAGACCATCAGACATCAGTTTTTAGCTATGCAATGTACTTTTGTCCATTTTTATACATAACAGTATGTCAAGTAATATTTTGATTACTTACCAGCTTATTGTGGTTTAAGTTAAATATATGATTTAGGCATTCAGTTTGCACAAGTGCAGTGTTACAAACCTTCTTTTAATTGTTAGCTACGTTAGCTGTACTAGCTCTAGTGTAAGACATGTCTTGGCTGATAGACTAGATTTTAGGTAAGAGGGAAAATTCAGTAAAATAGATTTTTTGCCAAACTGCATTTGAAGAATTGGTGAACCTTATCCTTGTGGTTACCACCTGCTAGCTTAGTTTAGGTTCAGCCCATAGAGGCATTGACTTTATGAAGTGACCTGCTGGGATGCTCTACTGACACGCATGCACCTGGTTTCAAAGAAAACCAGGGTAACTGCATCATCACTAGTGGTCAGTCTCTTGGACGGCTGCCGCCTACCTCCGAAGATCTATGACCTGTCCTGTGTGGACCCTAACTTCGATCTTTTCTTGATTGCCTGTTGCTCGTCCTTGCAGTCTTAAAGCAATAGCAAAATATTCTATTTAAGCAGTTTTCTGCTTGTGTAACCCAAATGTAGCCGACCAGCCAAGGCCAGCTGGTCTCTTCAGTTTTGCACTGGAGCTACAATTTTAATGTAGATTGCAAATAACGGAAGCTCTTTAGTTAGCATCATGCAGGATGCTAATTGGTGGGGTATATTCTGCTATTATTTGTTAGCTACATTACCCTTATAACTAAAGCAGCTAACTTTAGTTGTGGCTTGGTTGATCGACTACATTTAGGGTAAAGGAAAAACTGCCTAAATTTGATATTTTGCTAACCTTTTCCTTTATGGATAATGAGATTCTAGTGTTGAGTGGTTTGTCCATTAACTGTGTGTTTTTCATTCTGATATGGCCGTCAGTGTTTCTACAACAGTGGAAAACATGAACAGCTTGTTGAAATGAGCCCAGTAGCTTCTATACGGTCCGTTGCCTGTTCTAACACCTGTGTGCTTGCTAAGGAGGCGGATGACGTTGCGCCTCTGTTTCTGGTTTTCCTCTAAACCTGTTTGAGTTTTCTCACTGTGATGATATTCACTCTGACAGACTCATGAATGCATGTTGTCTTTTAATTGCTTGGATAATCTGAAGTACCATTGTTGTGATTTTTTTTAAAATATTCCAGTCTTGAGGTAGAGGTAGTTTCTTCTTTAGAGGCTAATGTTTTTGAGTACTATGATTGAGATACTGCTAATAAGAAGCATAAGACAACAAAGCTCCTGTTAAATGGGAATTCCACTTAATTTCCTGCATTATTCAGTCACTGAGATGTATAGTAATTCCGAGAGGTTTGATGTGGTTAATTGTAGAGAAACTTAGACTCTGATTTCTTTACAGTGGTGGTGATAGGCACCAGGGGGCATGATGCCTGCAGCGAACCCGCACATCTTCTGAGTTCTTATATGTAATGTTGATAATGGGAAAATAGTGATAAATACAAAAGCTTTTCTCAGAACTACTGTAAGTCAATGTTACAGGCATAAGGCAGCATATTTGTAACCATTTCATGTAATAGCTTTCTGTGAGGGAGCTTTTAGAGGCATTAAACTCTTCCGACGTCTGGTTCCTATCACCACCACTGTGAACAATTCTGACTGGGTTTCTCTAGAATGAAGCATTTCACATCAAAACTTTGAAAAATGGTGGAATTCCCTGTTTAAAATGTGAACTTTTTCCACCTGCTAACACTTAGTTTCAATCTCTTCTCATCTCTTCTCTCTTTGCTTCTCTTATCTCCTCTTCCCTCTCCCTCTCCTTCCTCTCTGATGAATAGAGAAATTGATAGAGGGTTTGAAGTCTCCAGAACCTTCCTCCTCCTCTTCCTCCTTGCTTATCCCTGACCTCCCTCTGAATGACCCCTTCAGTCCTGCAGACACCAGCCATGGTAACCAGCCTCCGCCTGTCTGTCTTCCTCTCATTCACTCAACCATCAAAGGAAATACCTGATCTTTCCTACCTCCTACCCTGCTGACTCTTTCACATGCCTTTGGAACAGCAGAGGGCCTCATTAATCTGTCAGCTGTTCTCCTCCTGTCTCTTTCTCTCTTTTCTCTCTCTCTCCTAATTGCCCTAAACTAGCCCAAAGCATCACCTCTTCTCCATAAGCCCGTCTGTCTGTCCGCCGCACGAACGACTCAGTCTGTTTTAGTTTCATAGAGGAATGCCCGAAGTCCTCACCATGCATGGGAATGAGAAGGCCGCCTACCATCGTTAGTCTTCTGTTCACATATGTTTATGTGTCATACATGTTTTGTCTTTCTGTACACAGCTGGGATGGATTCTCTGATTCCTGGGCTGGAGCCTCTACAGGCTGATGCTGGGTCAGCTTCACTATCGGGTCAGTGGAAATTCTCTTTACTTTGGTTTTTTGTTTATTGACCAGCAGCCCTCTAAAGCAGTGGATGGTCCTGGCCCTGGAGTACCCACCACTTTTCACATTTTAGTGTTTTTATTCTCTAATACACTGACTTCAACTCAGGAAATAATTATTTATTAGCTGATAAATTGGATTGGTTGGTACAGCATAGGGGAAAACAAGGCTGTCTACGACAGGGCAGACTTGGGTTCGATTCCTTGCTTGGTTAAGCACACTATGCTGTAATAATAAGAGTACTTGGGCAAGATTATTGATGCTATTTGTCTACATCTGTGACGTGATTAAATTGTTAGTTGGGTAAGAGCATGTGCCAAACGCTCTTGAATTGACTGACAAGAAATCGAAAAAAGTGCTGTGCTTTGTTAATAAGTTCTTGAATGAACAAAAAATGAATTAAAACTTTGCACACTTATCTGAAAGCTGAGGTTTGGCAGTACCTGAAATTAACTGGTGCAAGAAATCACTCTGACACAGACATTTGTCTCTGGCTAGTAGCTGCATCTAAGGTCAGTGCATCTCTGAAGAGACAGTATTATAGTTCGGGAAGTGTATGGGTACTCTCCAAACTCTTATGGATACTCAAAATTTGTTGAAATGTACATCCCTAGTTTCACTCCTTTCATACCTCAAAATAAAGGGTGATTCAAAAAGATTAATTGGATTTCAAAGCACCATATTTTTACAACCGTAAGGTGCCTAGGAACCAATCACATACCAATTGAAAGAGGGGGTCATAGAGTTTCCGACTGTCACTGGAAGATGGCTCCATTCAGTCTGTGAGGAGATGCGACCCCTGAGCAGAAAGCGTTTTGCATTCTCCACTTCAATAAGAGTGAATCAGTCATAACTGTGCAACATGATTTTCGTGGGCAGTGAACCTCCAACAGCTCAGAGCATTGGTCATTGGTTCCACAACACTGGATGATCTCCGAAATCACACTGAAAGAGCTGTGAGTACAGTGACACCCGACATGCTCAATCCAGTATGGGATGAATTTGACTATGGCGTTGATAATGTCTGTACAGCTGAAGGAGGTTCATATTGAGCCCTTTTAAAATCAAATAATAAACTTTATGTTCATTTAAACCATTTACAGTTTACTGCATTGTTCTGTACTGATTTACAAGTGAAATTAATCATTTTGAAATGGGATGAATCTTTTTGAATCACCCTGTACTATCACAAGCTCTACACTCTGTGACTTTTTGTGCTTTTTATCTGATGTAAAGACCAGGTCATAATGTTTCCACAATAAAGACTTCCCTGATTCTTTTGGATTTTTCAGCAGTTGCCCTATAGAAAGCTGCCTTTGTATATTGTCCATGTTGAACAGTTAGTAGGACAGGCTTTGTTCTGCCCATACATAACAATCCTGAGTCTTACAATATATGTGTGAAGTGGGTTTGAACCTGGCCTGGAACCCAGTAATTTGTTTAACTCTGCCAGGCTCTAGTTAAAGGCCACAGGTACTCCAGAACCAGGGTTGGGAACCACTGCTCTAAACCACTATGTCAATGCGACTGAGTCTTGTGATTCTGATATTAAACCATGCTAAATCTGTGGAAATGTGCTCATAATAAATGCCTGGAGTTCTCAGTGCTCTGCACTCTCGCTGGTTGATGCCTATTTATTAAAAGTGGTCGCCTGGGTAAAGGAGTAGGCAGGCTCTGAGGATGAGCTCATGGCTCGTGAACCCACTAAGTGTGATGTTTCCTGTCATCACTCATTAATTAGCTCGTGGCTATGAGTTGGTCAGCTGATGACAACACTATGAAACTGTTCCTGTCTAGGTCATCTGTGACATTTGATCACAGTCTTAGAGGGAATCGCTTCTAATTTGATGTGCTTTATTCTCTTTATCAGGCTTTCCAGTTGTATAGCACAGTCAGTAATTCATGAGATTGATCCACATTTCAGGAACTTCTCTGACCACCTTATCAGGCTTTTCCATCTATCAGTGCACTTTCAGCGGGCTATGTTTTGTGTTTCCTCTTGCTTTTCCCTTCCTCTTCTCAATTAAGTGTGTTTCAGATGCTTGCTAGTGCCACCTGGTGGTGACCATGCAAAGCAAGTACCATATATTAACTTAATGCTGTGTCAGTTGCTCTCTGTAATGTGAAAGAACTGGACATATGTTGCCTCCTTTTTGTGATACAGTAATGTTTGTTGTTAGGCTCGTCCAGCAGCTTTGAGTGCCTTAGATCCGTGATATGTCGTCCATTGTTGTGAAAAAATTGAGTGCACTCGTGGTTTGACAGGGAATGGCTGTTTGGCTTTGAAAGCAGTCTACAAACACAGCTCTCTTCTGTGCTTTGAGTGCTTCAAGTGTCAAAGCTGTTCTCAAAGGAAAGCTACAAGAACGGCCTTTCTCACATTTCTGCTCCAGCTAACATCTCTCACTTATTTTTCTTTCTCTTTTCTCCTCTCTGCCCAAATGTTACATAACCTGCTACCCCTCTCCTCTTCCCTTTCTGCATTGTTACCTTCATCCCACCATGCTTTCCTTCCTCCTTTTCTCCATCCCTTGCTTCACATTGCATTATTTTCTCTCCATTGGCTGTCCTTATTATCTGTCCATTTCTTTTCCATTCTTCTGCCCTGTCCTCCTCCCTCCTTCTCTCCAGACTCTCTGGGTGTAGGAGATTCGTTGCTTGGCCCCCTGCTCTCTTCCCCTTCCTCTGGGGCGCAGATGCTGGCCTCTCCCCTCTCCTCCACCCCCGCCCCATCTCTGGACCAGCTCACCCCTGCTTCGCTGGCCAGCGCACAGCCCCACCCGGGTAAGACAGTCACACACATCGCGCACCTGATACAGTTTCTCTAGTGAATTCAGTGTTTGGAGAAAAAAGATTGAATTGTCTTAAGGCCTTTTTCTGACCAAGCAGACGACATGTACATGTATAGCTCATTTTCCGGACAGTGAAAATGAGTCAGTGTTTTATTGACTCTCTTCGATTTTCGAACTTTCTCCATTGACAGGAACTCACTGACCAATCACTGATGTCTCTATGGTTGACATGGTGACATGTTTTTTGTACTTGAAGACATTTTGCCCGTTTGTTTGTTTTTGTCACAAACAGCATTGCGAAATTAAAAAAAAAACAAAAAACGGACTGACTGATAATATTGCCTGGCTGATAAAATCGGGCAGTATGAAGGTTCCACTAGTGTGGGGGAGCTCAATCCTTGGAAAGAACTCCTAATCAATCGCAAATGCACTTCTTTAAAATTAACCCCTTAACAAGTTTTATTACACACTCTATAATCTAAGAAAAACTCCATTAGTTTGCATTGAAGCCCCAGTATTTACTGAATAATAAACCTTTGTATTTAATCAGCCTGGAATGTTAAGGGGCTTTTATATACATAGCATAAAAGTTGTTGTATTCACATGTACAGTGTGTTCGCAGTTTTTTTTTTTAAAACATAGTTCCTCTGCAAAATTTGATGACACTATGCACAACTGTGGTCTACCATTCAGCCTGAAAAAAACAATTTTGGGAAAACATTTTTGTCACCGTTTATAGTCACTTAGCTTTGTAAGCAATTCAAACTGAACAGGCACACTAAATACAGACCACCACCATCAACCCCCAGCATCACTACGACTTCTGTATTTAAGAGGGACAGCATTCACATTCAGACAGATTTGGGATTTCTTTTATCAGTACCCTCCTTTCACTTTAATTTTTATAATTCTTCCTTCCTTCCTTTCTTTCTTTTTTCTTTCTTTCCCCTCTGTCACTTTCTTTTTCTCTGCATCTCTCTCCTTTCTCACTCTTTCTCTCATTCTCCTCTCTCCTCTCATCTCCCTTCTTATCTCTCATCTTTCTCTTTCTCATCTCTCTCACTCCCGCTCTCTTTTTCTACACTTTCTCCTCTTCTCTCTCTCTGTTGTCCTCCTTTCTCTTCTTTTTCTCTTTCTTGCTCTCCCCCTCCACCCCCCTCCCCTGGGCTGCTTTTGCTGTCTAACTCACTCTGCGCCCCCTGAATCATCTCCTCAGCCCTGGACTCGGCTCCGGATCAAAGCCCCGAAAGCCAGTTCGACCCTATTCCAGTCCTCATCTCCAAAACCCCCAACCAAGGTAAGGGACAGGTGTGAGGCAGCAGGGTCAGGGCTAGAACCATGACATATCATCTCCTGACCTCATTCAAACCATCACTATAGATAATTGGCAGCGCTGTGGTGCAGATTTTGCAGGTGAGGTTTTGAGTTGAAAGACGATCTTAGTTTTGTCCCACCCCCAGCTACGTGTACTCACATGTACCCCATCTACCTGTACTCATATTTACCCCCAGCTACCTTTCTCATATTTACTCCCAGCCACCTGTACTCACATTTACCCCCAGACACCTGTACTCACGTTTACCCCCAGACACCTGTACTCACGTTTACCCGCAGACACCTGTACTCACGTTTACCCCCAGACACCTGAACTCACGTTTACCCCCAGACACCTGAACTCACGTTTACCCCAGACACCTGTACTCATGTTTACCCCCAGACACCAGTACTCATATTTACTCCCAGCCACCTGTACTCACATTTACCCCCAGACACCAGTACTCACATTTACCCCTAGACACCTGTACTCACGTTTACCCCCAGACACCTGTACTCACATTTACCCCAGACACCAGTACTCACGTTTACCCCAGACACCAGTACTCATGTTTACCCCCAGACACCAGTACTCATGTTTACCCCCAGACACCAGTACTCATGTTTATCCCCAGCCACCTGTACTCATGTTTACCCCCAGACACCAGTACTCATGTTTATCCCCAGCCACCTGTACTCACGTTTACCCCAGACACCTGTACTCATCTCGTGAACACTGTGGCAGCTTATTCCTAAAAGCAGCACATACCAACAGTTGTTACGTTAGCATGCCTCATTTTAACACATTCTTGTATAGATGCACATGTTCTGTTAGGCTGTGGAGCAAAACATGAGATCATG